ATGCTACAAAAATTTTTTTAATCCTATTTTTTAAATTGTGGTGAACATGGTTTTACAAATATCTCTCTCTTTTTTTTGGTACTGGGGATTGTACTCTGGTCCTTGCGCCTAGTGGCGAAACCACTGAGCTAAATCCCTGGCCACAAATATCTCTTTGAAGGGCCGAGGATTTAGCTCAGTGGTTCTGCCACCTGCCTCACAAGTGCAGGGACCGGAGTTCGATCCCTGGTACCAAAAAAACCCACAACAAATATCTCTTAGATATTGTACTTTCAATTTGGGGGACATATATTCAGAATTATTGGATTATATGGGAGTTTTATTTTATTTGTGTTTTTTGGAGACAGGGTCTTGCTATGTAGCCCAGAAGAACCTTGAATTTGTGATCCTCCTGCCTCAGCCTCCTGAGTACTGGGATTACAGGCGTGTACCACCAAGCCTGGCTTCTATTTTTAATTTTTTTGAGGAGCTGCCATACTGCAGCTATTTAGAAACCACATCATTTTATATTCCCACCAACAGCACATGAAGGTTCCAATTTCTTCATTTCCCTACTCCTGTACTTGCTGTTTTCTGTTTGTTTTTAGTTTTTTAACAGTGGCTATTCTAATGGATGTAAGGCAGTATCTTTGTGGTTTTGATTTGCATTTCTCTAGTGATTAGTAACTAGCATATCTTTTCATGTGCTCTTTGGATATTTGTTTATCCTTTTTGGAGAAATGTCTATTCTCCTCTTTTGTCCAGTGTAAAAAATTGTTCGTTATTCAGTTGCAGGGGTTCTTTATAGATTCTGGATGTTAACTGCGTATATGATACTGTGTATGATTTCCTTTCATATTTTTACTTTTGTTGCCTATACTTTTGGTGTTATATCCATGAGATAATTGCCAGATCCAATGTCTTGAAGCTTTACACCGTTTTCTTCTTTGTTGTATAGTTTTATTTTGTTCTATCTTTTTTTTTTTTAGTACCGGGGATTGAACTCAGGTCCTTGAGCTTGCACAGCAGGCTGCGAAACCACTGAGCTAAATCCCTGGCCCAAGTTTTAGCTCCTAACAAGGTTATTAAAGGGAAGAGAAAGGGGATGCAAAAAAAAAAAAAAAAAGGATAAAAAAACCAAATAGAGCTTTTGTAAATGAGCAGGAGAACAAGAATTGGAGCAGGGAGGAATGGGAGGGGTAGGCTACAAAAAAAAAAAAAGAATTAAGATGTTACGTATATGTACCAACTCCCCACAATAAATGTAATCATTATGTACTGCAAACATGTACTAACAAAAAAAGAGTAATATAAACAAGCAAAACAAGGTTGTTAAAATTTATTTTCAGAGATTTACTCATTAGATTTAAAGGAAACAGTTTGCCAGTGGTAGGTACGAGATAGAAGACAAGATAGAGAGGGTGATGGTATTGTGTAAGTGGGCTTGCAGTTCTCTCAGTTCAGTTGAGTTAAATTTAGTCTTTTTCGTTCTTTGGTACTGGCGATTGAACTGGGGACCTTCAGCTTACGAGGCAGCGGAACCACTGAGCTAAATCCCCGGCCCTTAAATTCAGTCTTGACAAAATAAATCTTGACACTAATCCCGAAGTCAGACTCCACAAGTTAAGGGTTCAGTCTCCTAAGACTGATCCAGTGTAGGCATTGGCCGAGTGCAAATTTGGAGGTACCAGCAGTACCCTCCTCAAGTTTAGTAATTCACTAGAAGGACTCACACAGTTCAGGGAGCCATTTAATTAGGTTTACTGGTGTTTTATAAAGGATACAGTCCAAGCCTATTGACAAATACCTGTAATCCCAGCACTCGGTAGGCTGAGGCAGGAGGATAGCCGGGGCTACGTAGTGAGTTCTAGGCCATCCTGAACTACATAGCAAGGCCCTATCTCAAAAAAACAAACAAAAAAAGAAAAGATACAATTCAGGAACAGTCAGTTGTGAGAAATGAGATACAACTCAGGAACAGTCAATTGTGAGCGATCCTCAGGGCCAAGAATGGGAAGGAATGTGTGTACTTCCCTGCCCTATCTGGGCATATCACTCTCCTTGCATTTCAGTGTATTTACTGAGATGGAAGTTCTTCCAAATCCTATGTGAAGGCAGTTTATTAGAGGTTTCATTAAATAGGCACTGCTGATTAAATCATTAGCCATTAGTGATTGAGCTCAGTCTTCAGCCAGCCACTTTCCTACCAAGATTTTGAGGATGTTCCAAGCCTCTAATGCTTTGGTCCAGAGACAGCCCGCATTTAGAATCTTCTAAGCACCAAGAGTGGGCTCATTAATGTAAATTCAGATGTGATTGAAAGAGGCTTGTGAATAACAAAAGATGCATCTTTGGAAATTGTATGGGTTTTGGGTACTCTGTTCTAGGAACCTGGGACAAAGCCAAAAATAGTACAGTATGTGTTTTCTATTATACTTAGCAAGTGATAGAGTTGTTCTCTTAAGTCTTCCGTTGTTTTGTTTTTTAACGAAGGTCTTGCTGAGTGACCAAGCTAACCCCTCTTGTGATCCTCCTGTCTTTGCTTCTCAAGTAGCTACAATTACAGGTGTGTGCCACCATGCCCAGCTTTTAATAGTTTTCTTTTAGAATCTTAGTTTGAAATAATTTGATTTATAAAAAGTTGCAAAAATTGAACAGATAACCCATGTATACTCTTCATTCAGTTTCCTATAATATGGTCAACTTACTGAGCATAATACAGTGATCAAAACCAAAAAGCTAGCTGGGCATGGTGGTTCACACCTGTAATCCCAACATTATGGGAGGCAGAGGCAGAAGGATCACAAGTTCAAGTCCTGCCTGGGCAAGTTAGTGAGACCCTATCTCCAGATAAAGAAATAAAAAGGGGTAGGGAGGGCTGGGGATTTAGCTCAGTGGTTCCACCCCCTGCCTTGGAAGCGCAAGGTCCCAAGTTCAATCCCCGGTACCAAAAAAAACCAAACAAAAACAAAAAGGGATGGGGATATAGCTAGCTCATTGCGAAGGCTCTGGGTTCAAGAAGTTAGACTGGACACTGTGGCTTGCCTGTAGTCCCAACTACTTGGAAGGCTGAGGTGGGATTATCCCTGGAGCCTAAGAGTTCAAGACCAGTTTGGGTAATATGTGGAGACCTTGTTTCAAAAAATGAAAAAACAAGAAGCAGAAGTGTAAAATTGGTACAGTGTAATTAACTCAATACAAACCTTATTTGAAATTTTTCCTCTACTAATGTTATAGGGTAGCTCCTTCTAAAAGTGGCTCACCAATAAAATGTTACCAGGTTCTGGGTTGTTCTCCTCTCCCTCTGGAGTTAGATTCCAAGTTCTTCTCATCTGGAACAAAGAATTGAATAAAACGAGCAAAAAGCAGTGGCAAGGTTTATTTGGAAAAGTAAAAGTGAAGAGTGACAGAGAAACTGGCTCTACAGAGTGAGTTTGGGCTGAGTAAAAATGGAAAAAAACAAAATAAAAAAATAAATCCCCACCCAGTATATGTAACTTTTTGAGCCTTGCTTCTTTCATTGGGCATAATATCTTTGAGATTTTTCCTAAGTTGTTGTATTATCAGTAGTACATCGCTTTTTGTTCAGTAAATGTTCCAGTGTGTAAAAACATTTGGGTTATTTTTATTTTTTTGGTTAGAAATAGAATGCTGTAGGGCCAGGGATTTAGCTAGTGGTTCTGCTGCCTGCCTTGCAAGCACAAGGACCTGAGTTCGATCCCTGGTACCAAAAAAAAATAGAATGCTGTGAACATTTGTAAAGAAGTTTTTGTGTGAATATAGCGATCATTTCTAAAGAGTTCACACCCAGAAGTGAAACTGCTGCACTGTATGTAAAATGTGTTTTATTTTATTTGAAACTGCCAGTTTTTCAGAGTAGCCATCCTGTTTGATGTTCCTGTTAGCATTGTATGAGTGTGCCAGTTTCCCCATAATCATGTCTATAGAATTTTAAATTTTTGCTCATCTTATAAGCCATAAAAATATCTTGGTATCCTTGCTGCTTGGAACAGGCAGCTACCAGCAGGTGTCAGTAGCTATTCCTGCCACTGGAGAGAGCATCTCCTGGCGTTTCTCTGTTCTCTGCTGCGAGCAAATTCAGTGTTACCAGCCTTGGCCACTGGCTTCTTTTAGTGCCAGTAACCTTTCATGTTACTAGCTCTAGCTATTGGCCACTTGGCACCTGTGACCTTTTGTGCCACTACCTCTTCATGTACCAGGTCACCATGCTCTACTCAAGATGGAAATCACAAATAGGCAAAAATATGCCATCTGAAAGATACATTATTAGAACTTATTGGGCCAGGGATTTAGCTCAGTGGTTCCGCTACCTGCCTCGTAAGCACAAGGTCCCGAGTTCAATCCCCGGTACCAAAAAAAAAACAACAAGAACTTATGCTGCAGAGTGGATTGACCTGCTAAGGGTATGGAAAGATTGCTTAATAGCAACAAAAGGTGGGCTAGCACATGCACAATGTGGCCTAGTGGGGGTGGGGGACCTGTGGACCTGATTGAGGAAGGCTGCAGAAGGTTGGAGTCATTCGAAGAGGCTGCCAGGCAGAGTCATCGGGGATAGGTCCTTGACTGAAGCTTGCTGCAGCCAAAGCAAATACCTGCTGGAGCAGCCATGGTGCCCCTGTTGCAGCCAGCTTGGTAGGGAATTTGGGTAGGGTAGTCCCAAAAGAAAAAGATACCTCCTGCGAAGCATAGAATCCTTCTCTCTCATCTCACTGTGTTTTACAAATATGATTTTCTTTTATAAAAGCATTTATTAGTTTTAGATATTTTCTGATTATAATTTTTGAAAATGTGAGAATAAAGAAAAAAATCATTACATGTGTAAGTATGCAATAATTATGAGGCATTTTTTTCAAAAAACAACTCTTTAGTGGAGCTAATGACATACATTTTGTGTCCCACTTTTTTCTCCCAAGATTACTATTTTTTTCATCTAATTTATACATTAAATTTTCTAATTTCTTGTTTTGTTGACTTTTTTTTTTTTTGGCTTCTTCCCATAGATCTTGAGCCAGATGATTGTGCATCCATTTACATCTTTAATGTAGATCCACCTCCATCTACTTTAAATTCACCACTTTGCTTACCACATCATGGATTGCCGTCTCACTCTTCTGTTTTGTCACCATCGTTTCAGCTCCAAGGTCACAAAATCTATGAAGGAACTGGTGATGTTCCCGAATCTAAATATAGCCCATTAGGTGGTCCCAAACCCTTTGAGTGCCCAAGTATTCAAATTACATCTATTTCTCCTAACTGTCATCAAGAAACAGATGCACATGAAGATGACCTACATATAAATGACCCAGAAAGGGAATATTTGGAGAGGCCTTCTAGAGATCATCTCTATCTTTCTCTTGAGCCATCCTACCGGGAGTCTTCCCTTAGTCCTAGTCCTGCCAGCAGCATCTCTTCTAGGAGCTGGTTTTCAGATGCATCTTCTTGTGAATCTCTTTCACACATTTATGATGATGTGGACTCAGAGTTGAATGAAGCTGCTGCCCGATTTACTCTTGGATCCCCTCTGACTTCTCCAGGTGGCTCACCAGGGGGCTGCCCTGGAGAAGAGTCTTGGCATCAACAATATGGACTTGGGCATTCCTTGTCACCCAGGCAATCTCCTTGCCACTCTCCTAGATCCAGTATCACTGATGAGAATTGGCTGAGCCCCAGGCCAGCCTCAGGACCCTCATCAAGGCCTACTTCCCCCTGTGGGAAACGGCGGCACTCTAGTGCTGAAGTTTGTTATGCTGGGCCCCTTTCACCCCATCACTCTCCTGTTCCTTCTCCTGGCCACTCCCCTAGGGGAAGTGTAACAGAAGATACATGGTTCAATGTTTCTGTCCACAGTGGATCGGGCCTTGGCCCTGCACTTTTTCCCTTTCAATACTGTATAGAGACTGATATCCCACTGAAAACAAGGAAGACATCTGAAGATCAAGCTGCCATAGTACCAGGAAAATTAGAACTCTGTTCAGATGATCAAGGAAGTGTATCACCGTCCCGGGAGACTTCAATAGATGATGGCCTTGGATCTCAGTATCCTTTAAAGAAAGATTCATCTGGTGACCAATTTCTTTCAGTTCCTTCACCTTTTACCTGGAACAAACCAAAGCCTGGCCACACCCCAATATTTCGGTGAGTTGGTAGATATGGTTGCTGACCATTTTTCATGTGTATAGGTCATTGGTGGCATGTTATGTTATCTGTAATTGGTTTTTTCTCTTCATCCTGTCCTTCCTTTCCCTTTCATCCCCGTCTTCTTCCCCTCTCTTACTTCTTCCCTTTCCTTCCTTTTTTCCCATTCCTCTTTCTTTCCTTTCTCTCATTTTTATTTTCCTTTAAGTCTTTTTTTTATTTTTATTTATTTATTTTTTCTTTTCTTTTCTTTTTTTTTTTTTTTTTTTTGGTACCGGGGATCGAACTCGGGTCCTTGAGCTTGTGCAGCAGGCGGCGAAAACTGAAACTTTTTTTTTTGGTACTAGGGATCAAACTTGGGTCCTTGCACTTGCACAGCAGGTGGCGAAACCACTGAGCTAAATCTTCAGCCCTGTTTTTGTTTTTGAGACAAGGGTCTTGCTATATAGTTCAGGCTGGCCTTGAACTCACTGTAGCCCAGGCCAGCCTCCCCTTGCAACTGCCTGTCTCAGTTCCCCCAAGTGCTGGGATTACAGGCATGTGCTTAGTTTCATGCCTGGCTTATTTTCTTTTAAGTCTTAAAAGTATTTTAAATAGGCTAAAGTTATAATTTTAAAAGTATATAGCTAAAGAGTTGTACATGTGTTGCCTAGGCTATTCTCAAAGTTGCCGTCTTCCTGCCTCATCCTCCCAAATAGCCAGGATTACAGGCATGTACCACTAGCCTTGGCCTTTGTGATTTATTTTTTAACTTTTTAAGTTTATGATTTGTTGTTCTTAGAGAGAAATTTTTAAGTTTTTTATACTCAAATTTTTCTTTATTGCTTATGTGTGTGCTATATTTGAAAGTATTGGGTTGGGATATAACTCAGTGATGCCATGCTTGCCTGGCAAGCACAAGGTCCTGAGTTCAATCCCTGGTGCCAAATAAATAAATAAAAGAAAGTCTTATCCTGCTCTAAAATAATTAAAAATAAAAATCTAGCTTTCATGTGTGTTTTTAATAAAGTGTTGTATACATTATGTGTGTATTTTATGTATGATTTTTTTTTTTTCTGGTACCAGGGATTGAACTTGGGACCTTGTGCTTGCGAGGCAGGCAGCAGAACCACTGAGCTAAATCCCCGGCCTATGTATGATATTTTTATCAGATAGATATTTGACTCTTGGATCCACCATTATTTTGGTGTAAGGAAAGAAGAATAATGTAACAACTTTACTTTCCAAATAGGTTGACAGTTGTCACAATACCATGTGAAGATCCTGTCTAATCTATAATTCATTAGAAAAGACAACTTTTAACATACATTAAATTCCCACATGGAGTTGTGTCTATTTAGGGATTTTTTTATTTTTAAATTTTTTTTGGTACTGGGGATCGAACACGGGTCCTTGCGCTTGCAGGGCAGGCAGCGGAACCACTGAGCTAAATCCCCAGACCAATTTAGGGATTTTTTAAATGATAATTTTTAAATTGATGCTGGAGACCAGTAGTTTAGTAAACAATTTTTTTTATTCATCTTAGGTTTTAAGCTATTTTTTGTCTTTGGAGGCTTTTAAAAAGAAAACCAAATTCGGTCCACTTCAATGTCCACCTATAAAGAAGGACAATTTTTAGGGCTGGGGATTTAGCTCAGTGGTGCTGCACCTTCCTTGAAAGCACAAAGTCTTGGATTTGATCCCCAGTACCAAAAAAAGGACGATTTTTTGTTGTTGTTTTAACTTGTCTTTTTGTTATTGTTGTCTATACACTATTTTTTAAAATGTGTAGTTCTGTTTGTGTTCAGGTGATTCAAGTATCAAATGGAAGATTCTTCCACTAAATTGCCTTTGTAATGAGAATGTATTAGTATAAAATAGCAAAATAAATACTATATAAAAAGAAAAAAATACTTTTACTTGTATAAATAACTATCTCTGGAATCCTCATCTTTAGAAAAATATAATGTGGAATCTGTGCTACTGAAGACATCACTTTTTTTTTGGAGACAGGGTCTCCCTATGTAATTCAGTCTGGTCTTAAACTCACTATGTAACCCAGGCTGGCCTCGAACTCCCATCAATCCTCCTGCCTCAGCTTCCCAAGTGCTGGGATTACAGGTATGCGCCACCATGTCCAGCAAAGACATCACTTTGTTTCTTTCTTCGTTTCTACACATACTAGGCAAGCAGACTACCACTGAGCTACATGCCCAGCCTTTCTTCCTTTTTCTCTTTCTCTTTTTCTCTCTTCCTCTTTTTCAGTAGGGATTGAACCTAGGGCCTTTTCACTGAGCTATATGCCCAGACCTTATTTTAATTGTTTTTTATTTTGTGAGAGGGTCTCACTAAGTTGTTAAGTTGCCCGAGCTGGTCCTGAACTTGTGGTCCTCCTCCCTGCCTGCCTCCCAGAGTGCTAGGTTTACAGGCATGCACCACCACACTTGACTTAATATGTTATTTTCTAATTCTATATTTTCAGTGTTAATATATCTGAACAAACCTTTAGGCATTTAAGATGTTTACATTATTTTTTTTCCTTGTTCCAGGGATTGAACTCGGGACCTTGTGCTTGCGAGGCAGGCGCCAGAACCACTGAGCTAAATCCCCGGCCCAAGATGTTTAAATTATTGATCATGTTTTAAAAAGTGTCATTAAGCCAGATGTGGTGGTGCTTGTGTGTAATTCCAGCACTCGGGAGGTTGAAGCAGGAAAATTGCTGCAAGTTTGAGTCCAGCCTGGGGTACATAATGAGTTCAAGACCAGCTTGAACTGCATAGCAAGACCTTGTCTCAAAAAAATTGTCATTTAACATGTTCATGACAGGGCCATAATTCATGTCTTGCTGCTAGAAGGCTCTTAACCACCAGTGGTTCAAGCCAGTGTGAATATGTTAAAGATGTTTCATGTTTTCTCATTTAAATACATAGTGAAATTTTTACCTCAAATTGCAGTATGTTGCTAAATATAACAGTTTTTCCGATCAATGAGAAAAAGGGTAATAGAGAAGAAATAGAGGGGGCAGCACGTTTGACTTCTATATATTCCTGCCAGGGAGAGGGTTACATTACTAAGAAAGAAAAATTTTAGACTTTTGGAGAGATACTGAGACACATACAGAGATGTGTATCTTGTATCTTTTGCTTTAAGGAATCAAATTATTGTAATTTTGGTGGTTTTTGTAATTATATACACATAGTTGAAAAACAGTTTTAGTTTTATAAATTGTTAGAATTGGTCCTTTTTGAAGAAAATAGGGGAAACCAAAAAGTAGATAAAATAGATTTTAATCTTCAGATTAAAGAATTATTTATTAAGCCATAACCAGTGTTATATTAAGTGAACGTTCATTTTGGAATACTTTGTTTCAGAGATGGCAGGTTTAGCAAAGAAGTAATTTGAATCACTATTTGGCAACAATAGCATGGTGTTTAGCATCTTTGTGTGTTTTGTTTATAGCACATCTTCATTACCTCCATTAGACTGGCCTCTACCAACTCACTTTGGACAATGTGAACTGAAAATAGAAGTGCAACCTAAAACACATCATCGAGCCCATTATGAAACTGAAGGTAGCCGAGGGGCAGTAAAAGCATCTACTGGGGGCCATCCTGTTGTGAAGGTATGAGAGTTCTGAGGCTTGTTGTTGATACTGTGTACCTGTACTTGTTGTACAAGTCTGTTCATTTAGGTACTGACAGAGCCCAAAGAGAAAATTCAGATCAGTTTTGTGTGCTTGTTGATATGGTTACACTTCTGCATTGAGTTTTCTTTCCTAGTCTAAAAGATGTTTTTCCTGACTCCCTTTCCAGCTGGGGAAAGAAGATTACAGAGGTTAAAGAACTGTTTTTCTGATTCATAAAGGACTATTGTGTTTATAGTATAATTTAAATAATATAGAAACCTAAAAAGAGTAAACTAATAAAATATCCAGAATCTGTTTCCCTCAGAAATAAGCAATACTTTATAACATTTGGCTAATGCTCTAGGTAACTCTCTCATGTATGTTTTTAGTGGAAGACTAGATGGATGGCTAAAAAAATGAATTGAATGTTTTTAAGGATAGTGTATTAACTTTCCATCACTGGGACAAAATATCCAAGATAATGAACTTGTAAGGAGGAGAGGTTTATTTCGGGTCACAGTTTTGGAGGCCAGTGATTGACAGTGGTCATTGGCCTGTTGTTTTTGGGTCTGTACTAAGACAGTACTATGTATCATGGCAGAGCATGTAGCAAATGAAACAGCTTGCCTCTGGAAAGGCAAGGAGGCTGGAAAGTAGTAAAAAGAGAGAGGGAAAAGGGATAAATCTGAATATCCCCTTTACTGGGATCACATCCCCATTGCCCTAACTTCTTCCCAGTAAGGGCCTCTCTTATAGTTTCTACCATCTCCCTATAACACCACAGGCTGGCAACCAAGCCTTTAACATGTGGGTCATTTATACACTTGCATAAACCACACCAGATAGGGTTATGCTGGATAGTTTCGTAATTAAAGTACTTATTTTTATTTGAATTTATTAAAATAAAACTAAAATGTAATTTTTTTTTTGGTACCAGGGATCGAACTCAGGACCTTGAGCTTGCAAGGCAGGCCCTGGAACCACTGAGCTAAATCCCCGGCTAAAATGTAATTTTTAAATTTATGTAATTTTTTTTTGGTGCTGGGGATTGAACTCAGGACCTTGTGCTTGCGAGACAGATGCGGTGCACTGAGCTAAATCTCCGGCCCTAAACTTACATAATATTTGATATATTTGAAATGTATTTCATATGTTAAAGTTTTGACTCATAACATGAAAATTAAAATATTGTTTAGTTTAGCCAGGTGCACACCTGTAATCCCAGCACTTGGGAGGCTGAGGCAGGAGGATCACCTCATGTTCAAGACCATCCTGGCCTACATAGTGAGTTCAAGGCCAGCCTGAACTACATAGCAAGCCCCTGTCTCAAACAATAACAACAAAACATAGATAGATAGACAGACAGACAGACAGACAGACAGATTGATTTTACTTGAATGGAGCATAAGAAAAATGAAACTAAAGTAAAACTGAGAACTGCTGACTCTTATGTGTTGTTTTTTAACAGTTCTTCAAAGATCTAAAAAAAATTATGTAAATTTTTGTGAGATTGAGCTCATTGAGATTTAGAGAGTACAGATTGACTCCTTTCTTTGATAAATAATTGTATCTCTTCCTCCCTCTTCTCTACTTTTTGTCACCTAGATTTTGATGCTTGTCTTATTTTTACTCTCAGATGCACAGCCACCTTCCTCACTTTTTTAGCCTTAACCCTATTTGTAGTTGAATTTAATGCTCAGTCTTAGTCCTTTTTAATTAATTTATTTCATTAAATGGTTTATGACTTATCATTACCTAAACATGTTTCATATTTCTTGACAAAGATTTACATTTTAAACAGATTTTAAAATGATTTGTAACAAGAAGTGTCAGGAAAACACAACAAAGGAATTTTATCATTCCCATACGGAAGCAGTAGTATCACTTGAGCCCAGGAATTTGAGACCAGCCTGAGCTACCCAGCAAGACCCAATCTCAAGGAAGAAAAAAAGAAGAACAACAACAACAACAAAGGAATTCTGTCATTTGTATTAGTCTTATTTTGTTGTTAAATGAGAGTTTATTTCAATTCTTGGTTTCCAGTGTCTTTGACATTTCTCAAGAATATGTTTATAAATGCAAAAATGGACAGAAGAGGCCTGGGATTTAGCTCAGTGGTTCTGCTGCCTGCCCTGTAAGCACAAGGACCCGAGTTCGATCCCCAGTACCAAAAAAAAAATAGAAGTTTTTTAGGGATCAGTGTAGTTTAATTCCACAATTTCCCCCTGATTAAAAATGGATTCTAGGGGCCAGGAATTTAGCTCAGCAGCGCTGTGTCTGCCTCACAACTGCAAAGTCCTGAGTTCAATCCCTGGTACCCCCCCAAAAAAAAAAAATGGATTCTGTGCTCAAAGGGAGACTAACACTGTTGGTATGAATCATCAGTGGTTTTTATATTCGTCTTATAAGTGACTTTTTTTAACTTGTTGCTTAAAGAATTATTTAGTGACATTTGAAATGATAGACTTAACCACAGTATGTCTGGATATTGGTGGTTTTTTTATTAGTCTTTCTCAGTGTCTACAGTACTCCCTTTCAATCTGAGATAGATTGATTGATTGATTGATTGATTGATTTTTTGGTACCAGGGATTGAATTTGGGACCTTGGGCTTGTGAGGCAGGCGGTAGAACCACTGAGCTAAATCCCCAGCCCTGAGATTTTTTTTTTTATTGGTGGCAAAGTTTTACATTAATTAAAGGTAGGATTACAAAAAGACTCTGCAATAATGACCAGCTCTGGGAAACGTGGGTGCTACTGCCAACTGGTACATCATAAGCTCCAAGATCAGGATTCTTTAGAATGAACAAGCATTACATGTGTTATAACTCATCCTCAAAACTGTTTACCTCAAACTTTGTTTTTCGGCCTTAGTGTGATGTTTTAGAACCATTCTTCAAAGAATAAAACATCATGCATGTAAAAAAAAAAAAAAAGACTCTGCAGACTGAGTTTGGGCCTTGTAAAAGTAGGAAAAATATATCATACAGTCTAGGGTGGGCTACCATAAAGAGATACGACAACCTGTTTCTTTTTTTTTCCCTTTTGAGAGACAGGGTCTTGCTATGTAGTTCAGACTGGCCTTAAACTCACTGTGTAGCCCAGGCTGGCCTCAAACTCATGGCAGTCTTTCTGCCTTAGCCTCCTGAATACTGGAATTACAGGCCTGTGCCACCACACGTGGCAATAATCTGTTCTTTGCCGGGGGGTGGGTACCGGAGATGGAACTCGGGACCTTGTGCTTTCGAGGCAGGTGGAACCACTGAGCTAAATCCCCAGCCCAATAATCTGTTCTTTATGGAAGAAAATTTTCCATACTGTGTGTCTGTATATATTGCCTGCGTTTCCTCTTCATTTGTTTTGTCCTTTACTTTAGTGACTCCAGTTATTATTCAGATGTTGACCAATCTTTTTTATTCTTGATATCTATGTTCTAGTTTCTGGATGTGTTAATGCTGTTTTGTTTTATTGTTTTGTTTTTGAGACAGGGTCTTCTTATGTAGTCCAGGCTGGCCTTAAACTCAATGTGTAGTCCGGACTAGCCTCAAATTTGTGGCAATCCTAGGGCCGGGGATTTAGCTCAGTGGTTTTGCCGCCTGCTGCGCAAGTGCAAGGACCCGAGTTCGATGCCTGGTACCAAAAAAAAAAAAAAAATTTGTGGCAGTCCTGCCTCCAGCCTCCAGAGTGCTGGGATTACAGGCATGTGCCATCACACCCAGCAGTTGTTTCTTATTTATTGATTTTCCTAAATGTATTAAATTGACAGGTTTTGTTTTAATTGTTGGGGTTTTTTGGTAGTAGGAATTGAGTCTTACATATGCTAATTCTACCACTGAGCTACATCCCAGCCTTTTTCATTTTATTTTGTTTTTTGTTTTTCTTTTTTTTGGTACTGGGGATTGAACTCAGGACCTTGCGCTTGCCAGGCAGGTGGCAGCACCGCTGAGCTAAATCCCCAGCCCTTTTACTTTCCTTTTATTGTTTGTTTTTTGTTTTTTGGTACCAGGGATCGAACTCTGGTCCTTTCACTTGCACAGCAGGTGGCGAAACCACTGAGCTAAATCTCCAGCCCTTTACTTTCCTTTTAAAGCAAGAAACAGATTCGAGTAATCAGAAAGCACTAGCAGCCATCAGTTAATCCAAGATACTAGCTTCTTAGTTCCAAAAGCACTTGCAAAGAAAACCATTGGTGGGGGATAAGGAGGAGAGGAAAATGGAAGCAATTCATATCCTAATAACTGGAATTCCTAAGTGTGGACGCCAAGTCTCATGAGGCTGTTTTTTAAATTTATCATTTACTTGGTCACATTTTTTTTTCCTCAAATACTATAGTTTTTCTTTAACTTTTTTCCTCAAAGTATAAAAAGTATGAAATATGAACAAGCTCTTGCATTGCATACTTAGAAGTGTACAATTCAAGCATTATAGAGCTATCTACATACTGATACATCCCATCAAATCTTAGATAATTCAATAATATACAAAATATCAGGGCACAGAAAGAACTAAAACCCATTTCTTTTTGTTACAATAAGATTTAAATATTCAATCTAAAGAAAAAAATCATTTTGGCTCTCTTTTACATCTCCATGTTGATATGCTTATTAAAATATTCCTGTATTAGGTGCAAGCACCCAATGATAAATGTAAACATATTGTATATCTACAATGTACCAATAAAAGGATTTGAGCAAGAAAAAGATAAAAAGAAAAAAAAATATTCCTGTATGATCATGTTTAGTCTTACTATTTCAAATCAGGTTTAAAACCTCAAAACCAACCATCCAGACAAAACAGGATATCTGAAAGATTATCTTTTCTCCACCTCCCTAACCCCAATAACTCCAATTTTACGACGTGACTCCAAACACTGGATTGTGACGCCAAATGCTAGGTCCAATTTCTTCATAATCCTTTTTGGTGTGGCATACTTGGTAGAACTCAGGTGTGGAAGCCAGCATTGATTCTCCAAACCAAACTATGTATTGCTGCATATGA